AGATATACTTATTAGTATCTATCCAATGTATTTCATAGTATTATAATGCTGTTCATGCTTGTATTAATTACACAGTGAAGGCAAATTAATTGTTTGTACAAGAATCGATTTAATAGTTTTATTTAATTATATGTATGCACTCCATACTTGTTTATATAGTTATTATCTGCATATTGTTTGTTTGTAGTTGCAAATTATATTGCAATTATATTTGTATTATCATATAGATATATTATTTATTGTTTTATGTACATTCTGAAGTATTATTTTTGTTATTCATCACTTTTATCTATGAACTATAGTCTGAGTTGATGAATTATTTCGTTATATGATGTGATAATTGTCTGTATATTATTTATTTTCGTATTAAACACTGTTAAGTTAATTATATTATCATATTAATATTATTCACCAAGTATGAGCATTTGTTTCATAGTAGAATTATTATTTATTTAATGTTGAAGTTTAATTGCACATTGCATTGACTTCTGTTATTTAGTTCTGATTGATGTAATTTTGCTTCGTACCAAATGATTTACCTTTATGATCTGTTATGTCTGTCTGTAACTTCTATTGCTTAGTCAGTGCTTAATCCATGCATTTTGTTATTCTATTTTTCATAGTGTCTGTAGTGTTATACTTTCTGTTCTGTTGTTTATATTTAGTTATTAATTTTTCGTGCATATTATCCATTTTCTCCCCTTCAATTCAAGAAGGTATTTCTTTGAAGAATTGGATATTTCTTTAACGTTTATTAATCGTTGTTATAATATAATGTTTATATATAATAATTGTAATTGCTTTCATGGTTCAATTTCTAATTATTAGTATTTTAAAGCAGTGTGTAACATTTGTTATGTTCTATAATGAGTAATTTAAGTGGTATTACTATTATATCTTTGTTACCATTAACGTTTGTCAACTTATATAATGTGTATTTTGTTCGTTATAGTAGATAAGTACACATTATGTATAATATATGAGTTTCGTTCACACTCGTTATCTTTTATTAATAATTGTTTGTAACTATGAATGAATATTTTGTTTTTGTGTTGAAAACATATGGTAATTTGTTTGTTTCCATATAATATTCGTTTAATAACATTATAATTATTATTTATGTAGTGCTTTTAGTAAATGTGCTGAGTTCTATTAAGTATGCTCACGTCTGTTATTGCCTATTTTATATTATACTGTCTAAGATAATGGCTTAAACATTTTATTAATTTATTTAATCATATTATATTATGATTGTTTTCAATCATAATTATTGTAATAATGTGTTTGTAATAATAATATTTGTATTATTCGTTGTAATAGCCTTATCAGCTTAATACTTTGCTCCTACAAGCTACATTGTCACAATGTAAATTTAATAATCGTTCGTTAAGGTATATACACTGTACAGTTAATGTTGCTGTTGCAACTTCGAAATTTATTATATAATCAGCTGCTGTGATAACACATTCTGTGTAATTAAGTTGTATTAATACATTGTTTCAAGTATAATAGAGATATAATTCTTTTGTTCATCATTAGTATGCATTTACACAATTGTATTAATGTGTAAAGTAGTATCATTTGTTTAATAATTATAATTTTTGCACTTATTTTGTGCTGTAGTTAATATTTACACATTATAACATTATTCTTTTGTGTGTAGTTAGTTCATACACTCTGTAGCATTGTTTTTTTTTGGTTTGTAGTTATTCATTATACTTTTGTATATCTGTACTCGTCTGTATATCTTAGATATACGTATTATATTCAGTATCCAATAAGTAATTGCAATATCTGACATGTAACTGCTGAATCCAATATGTTACATATAATTGCTCAACCATAATATGTGTTAGTTATTATATTGTTCTGTATTTGTTCCATTAGTTCTATCTGTATTATTATCATTATTATCATTATTGTTATTGTTATTATAGTGTCTGTAATTATATTATTGTTTATAATACATGTTAAATGTTTTATTTATTCGATTTAATATGCTGTTTAGCATATATGTGCTTGTTTTGAGCATTAATTGTTCGGCTGTGATATTACTATATGTGTTATTATTTGATTTATGCTATAACATATGTGTGCTTGTTGACAGTGTCAATCATTTGTACTATTGTAATGTTAATAGTGAAAGAGTAGTGTTTGCTTTATTAATCCTTTTAACGTTCGTTTTTTAACGTTTGTCTGTAGTATGATCAGTTAATTTATTATAACATGATCTCTGTGATATTATAGAGTATTTTAGCATTTAATAATTGCAGTAAGTGATACTCATTGTAGTTTCAACATTGCCTGCATAGATTATGTTATTACTAGGCCAATGATCATAATCACTAAGATGACAATCATATAATGTCTGGGTCGTATGTAGTACAGTAGATTGTGTGTCTGCAGCATATCGATTCGTGTTTGGGATACTCAGACAGGTGAGTCGAGTTCCACGTTGTAGTATGCTGCATGCATGCATGTGATGCATAGAACTGCATAGAGCATAGACATAGTAGAGTGTAGATAAAGCATAGGCAGGGAGTGCAAGGCTCATAACCTGTTAAGAAAGGGGAAAGAGAGGTTATGTGAGAGGCTTAGAGAGATCACACAAAGAGGGGGGATAGTGGACTCGGCTCGCTCTCTCGCAGCTTGCTTCATCGTCCGTTGATTAGTTAGTCTATATATACTATGTAGGTATGTCTCAGATGTAGAATGTATGATGGAAGGTATTCCATCATCGTTCGTCATTGCTTGTAATGTAGTTTATATCATCTGAGACATACTCTCGTGTAGTCTCATCTTAACAGTAACATTCAAGATTAGCATATGTTCAGATAATTACGTTTGACTCCTTACATCAAGAGACTCTCGTTGGATATAAGATCTAGAAACCCAAGTTTCAATGCTTTCCACGTGCGCCAGATTACATAAAGATTCTACTTACCGATTATACAAGAAGTTATCCCGAGTATTCCAACATACTGATTCTAGACAGCAGGGTAGAATGTAATTAACTACTATATGTCATTCCCATGCTTACTATAAAAAACATCAGACTAATAGAGGTGCACGGAGTAGACTTTATTGGAATCAATAAGAAATGGACTTATAGAAACCAGGATTAAAATCACCCAGAAGAATTTTATCTGTGGAGACACAGCTTAGTATGTGTTCGAGGGATAGTCATGGTCCTCATACCTGTTTATCTATCATTATAACTTGTATTACAAATTATGTTAGTACAGTTTTGCACAAGAAATCAGAGTACCGTGACGAACGAGCATTGTAGACTAAGACAGTCAATATTGCCACATTGAAGTACTGTGAAGTAATGTATTCAGAAACAAGCAATTGTAATTGCACTGAGCTCGGATCGTTATCTCCAGTATCGGAGCGAGCGATGAATGCATATAAATGTCCAGAGTCAAGATTGTCAAGCGTCTTGTTTGGCATTGAAGGAGAGAGAGACTCGGAGGTGGGGGTAGGATACAGCCTGGACACGTATTCCCTTAAAAAAAATCCATCAGTCTGAGGTGATGCAAGTGGAGCTGATACTTTGTCAGAGATGCATGGAAGGTCAGTCTTACTGGATCAAGAATCAGACAACATTTCTGTTTGCTGTCAGATGCAAATAGTAAATAGAAATAGTCTTGCTCATCAAGGCATCATACCAGTCTCCTATGATAATACCTCCTCTGTAATGTTAATGTACAATAGCCTTGCTTAGCCTGCTGGAATGACTCTCCATTCATGAAGAGATACGTTATTTGTAGGTTAAAGTCCAGTGATATGCCCACCTGCCACTTGACTATTTGGCACAGCTTGTGCATGATAAGAAGTTGAGAAGTCTCTTAATAAGCCACAGCTCGGATCTACTTCGGTCGAGTGTCTTTTGTAGTGCTTGGTTTTGGCTGGCAAGAATACTAGTCCTCATCCGGGACGGGAGATGCATGCCTCCAACAGCCTTACTCGGTTTCCCCCGTTCCACAGCCTTGTAGGGTAATCCGACACGCATTTCTGGGCTAATGGGATTCTGAGACTCGGAATTCTCGAAGATTGAAAGTTAAATTACCTCTGCCCTTTGTTGATGATTTCAAACTTTCTAGGATGTGGCAGTTCCCATCGTGTGCACTTGAAACTAGCTAGATGTCCGACGTATTCAATCAATGCTGTTACATGCCATTCCAACATATGAATGGAAAATATTCAAATACCATTCCTATAAAACTCGCGATCAAATCTCATTATATGATGTTTCGTCATCTGCCTTCGTTATCACTGGGAAACCCCGCTGCACACCCGATCACGAGCCCCGGACATATCGTAAGAGCCGCTTAGAGTGATTATGACGAGGAATGCAGACAAGATAGCTTTCCGTAGTTGGGTTACCATTTTGTTGCATTGGAGTTATTAAAATAATGCACGTGATCGCAGCTTCCTTCCGAATTCTGATCCGAGTGGTCCGGCTACCCGGCTGAGCGATACAAGCTCATTTTGTAGAACGGCGAGCTCAGGGACACGGACAACGAGGAGCCTGGGAGACGTGCTTGGTGCACACAGCGATGAGGATACTGGTCGCAAGGCTCAACTAGACAACTCTATGGCACCATCTTCAGCGCGGCGCGTATCTTATGTCGTTCCCTCGCCGTCCACCGCCGTGCCAAAGTTACGCTTGCCACCGGAAGGCACTCCTAGAAATGGCCAGATAGGCCCTATCCTCATACCCTCAAACAGCGCTGCAGCAGAGCACCATGGAAAGAAGTCGCGTTATCCCCGCCATAGATTGGGTGTGGCTGCTTTTGCCTTAGATACTTCGACGCAATTCGTCGGTCGCGATAGCCCCGAAGGCATTCTCTATTCAGGTGGAAGGGATGGCATGGTAATGATGTGGGATCTTGGCATGGCGATGAAACAGCGAGTACCTAAGTTTGGCTCACCCGGGCAGGACGGGAGCCGCCGTATGGGCCGCTGGGAGAAGCTGACGATCGACGAGGACGACGATAATGCTATCTATGAGGAGGAAGACGATGAATGGCTAACGAGTGATGGCGATGTGTTAGGAGATGTCATAGGCAGCGGTGGAAGGCGAGCTTCACGTTATTGGTCAAAACAATTCGACATTCCGTATGGGCAACGTTGGGAGCTTGATGTCAATTCCGTCAACCCTGGGCAGGTGCGCATTTCAATTATCGTCTGGTTTCCATGGTTGATGTCCCGAAGCCAGCATATTGGAGAAAACATGTTCAGGCTCACACGGACTGGGTGAATGACCTTCTGTTGTGTAATCTTAACCAGACAGGTAAGCTAATACTTTGTATATGTTGGCCTATATCTCTGTTAATGTTGATTGGTACAGTCGTATCTGCCTCGTCAGATGGCACCGTCAAGGCTTGGAGCCCACACAGCTCAGCGGCTACTCTTCCCTCTACCATAGGTACCCATACTGACTACGCTCGGTGCTTATCACAATGGTACATTTATTTGCTCATTTCTGGTTCTCTACTGATCATATGTGCCCAAATAACCAGTCATGAAAGAAAGTGGATCGCTTCTGGTTCTTTTGATCGGACTATCAAACTATGGGATATGGCTGAGCCACGAGTTGATCCATTGATGACGCTTGTCTCTCCAGACGCAGTGGGCCCAAAGTCTTCTGTGTATGCACTTGCATCGGATCCGTCTGGCCATGTCATTGCGGCAGGCGGGCCTGAACGCGTGGTACGCACTTGGGATCCGCGTTCGGGCAAGAGGACAGGCAAACTAGTGGGACATACGGATAACATCCGCGCAATTCTTATGTCCGAAGATTCGAGATACGTACGTAGTCTATGTCGTCCTTATGTTCTGGGGCTAAGATACGTTGCAGCTTCTCACAGGTTCCGCCGACGCGTCAATCAAGCTGTGGTCCATACTCTCTCCTCAACGCTGTATCTACACGTTTACTCACCACACAGAATCGGTGTGGTCCCTTTTCTCTTCTCACCCTGCTCTCGAGACATTCTATTCTGGTGATCGTTCGGGTCTTGTTTGCCGCGTCGACGTAGAGGAGTGTCAGCGCGTTTACCAAGGCGAATGCACACTCTTATGTAAAGATGACGGTGAACCGAATATGGCTTCCTCAGAAGGTGTTAGCAAGATTATTGCCATGGATGACCATCTCGTATGGACAGCATCAGGAAGCTCTAGCATACGCAGATGGAGAGTTCCCCAGAGTCAATTAGCTCGAGCGGTATCTAGCAGCCCGCTCGACGAGTCCAGCAGGTCCCAGTCGTTGCACCGACACACTTCGGCTACTAGTACGTCACGTTCGCCAGGTCTCCCCGATGGCACCTCTGTACGGCGTACTAGAGGCCAATCCTTAACTCCGTCAATTTCAGCATCACTGGCTTCACGCGAGTCGTTTGAGTTCGAGTCCGAAGACAATGCTTTGAATGGCATTCCGTATGAGAGCTTAATCAAACTCTGTGCACCAAATGGACACCATGGAACGTTCAGCATCACCTCACGAAGTCGTGAAGCAGAAGTTTCCACGCTTTATTCTGCTACATCTGCAAAATCTTTAACGCGACAACCACGTTCTCCAACCTCCGGGACGTTCCCAGGTCATGCATACTCACATCCTCAAGGCCATGTTAGTGTGGGTACACACGGTGGCTCCGGACGGAGAGATACATTGGTCCCACCTGGATTAGACGGTCCGGTCGTTCCACTTCCTAACACTCGCTTGGCCTACGAGGATCGTGACGTTGCTCCTGATGCAACTCCGCTCGTCAAAGAGCCGGATCTAGTTATCGAAGGCGAGCATGGCCTTGTCCGTGTTCTGATTATGAATGACCGCATGCACGCCCTGACAGTCGACACGACAGGTGTAGTTGCAGTGTGGGACATCGTTCGATGCCAGTGCCTTGGTGTTTTTGCTAAGGAAGACGTACAGAATGCAAATAAGAGTGCGACGAGCAGTCTGGCCAGTAGTGGTGATGGTACGAACTCCACGAGGGACAGAATTTCACCGCGCCAGGCACTAGAAATCGTACGGGATCGTATTGAAGGCGAAGCCGTCGTGAACACGTGGTCAAATGCGGACACGAAGATTGGGGAACTGACTATCCATATCTCCGAAAGGTGCTTCGAGTCAGAGATCTTCGCGGACGAGGCGGGCTATGAAAGAATATATAGCGACGATCACCGCTGTATGTGCACTTTCTTTGTGCTTCGTAAGTTTAATTTACTGACAGAATTTAGTAAATATTGGAAAATGGGCCTTAAGAAATTTATTTATGGGCTTCATTCGCGAAGAGCAACGTTTGGCGGCGAAGCACGCTCACGAGAAAGGTGTACCGTCAGCGTACAAAGGTGGGCATTCACAACGAGGCAATAGCTCTGGACATCCGCGTGCATTGTCAGATTCGTCTGTAGGCGATCGAGTTCCTGGCCAGTTCAGTTCGACAGCCGATGTGCCCCCTGTACCAGCTTTGCCATCTGACCTAGCCTCGGGAGTAGCACTTAGGTTACATGGTCTGTCACCTATCGCGCAGTCTCCCGTAGGTTCGGCTGGAAGCGACACTCTGACAACGCCAAAGCCAGCGACTTACGTACGGTCAAACTTAGGCGGTGCATCCGTTACAGCTGATGAAGCAACTCCTACGGCAAACCCCTCTGTTGGTCTTGCAGGGGGTGCCTCTGCTGTTCCTACATCTCCGACTGCAACAACGACACCATCTGCTACAACTGCCTCGGCAAGCCATGACTATTTTTCTCTCCGGCGTCGCCCGTCTACGTCGCAATCAACGTCCACTACTCAAACAGCCGCGGCACCTGCCGAGGATGACTTCTCTGGCTGGGGTGGCCCAGGAAGCGCAAAAAGTTCGACAGCTCACGAAACTGCCCCTTCTACACCAAGTACTCCTGGAGGTGGTCTCATGGGTCGGTTAAAGAACTTGGGAAAAAGCGCGCGTAGGGCGGCGACGGAAGCAGAGACTCCTTCAGCGACTACTCCTTACACCGCGGATGCTTCTGAGACCAAAGTGGAGGTAAGTACCAAAGCTACACACCTGCTCGTTAAGTACATATCGTTTGATGTCAAAACATGTTCCTTTCAGGGGCATACCTCGTCATCATCATCACATCCTAAATCTGCAATCGAGCGGTTAAAGTCTCAGCCTATCACCCCGCCTTCTTCTCATGAAGCACCTGTTATTTCGCTCCCGAGTGAGACCGCCATCATTGTTTCGGAAGAATTACCGTCGGGTTGGTCGCCTGTGTACCGAGGTACGGTAGGGTGTGTAGGTGCTGATGCACAGGTGTTGGAAGAGGTTTTGCCAGAATGGCTTTTGGAGTTCTTGCTTGCGAATAAGGCACCGCCTGTACCGCTGGCGAAACTTAGTTTTGTACTTCTTCCTGCGGTTATTCCACCTGATTCTAGAGAGATCTATGGGGAGACCTTGCCGGAATTGCTCAATACGTACGTTACTTTTCGAAAGTCTTGTGATGGAAAGACTGTACTGACCTTTTACTTTTTTTTTTGCCATTATAGCGCTCAGTCGAAACTGTCAGCTAGTAGATTCCTGCGCGTGAAAAAGCTGACATATCATGTAAATATCTTGGCTCTCAACTAATTGTTGACTTTAATGACGTTCTTTCGCAGGTCCAGGAGAAACTTGACAAGAACCCTCAATCCAAACCAGCTTCACCTCGTTCTTCATCTGATGCTCCCAATACCAGCCGACCATCGCTAGGCCGTGGGAGCCCAGCATACGATGGTTCCAGTTCACCAGCGGCGTCTCGGTCGTCAACGCCTCGACTTTCGCCTATGCACCTGCATAATCATGGAACGCACCTTCCACGTGCTGAAGATGTGTATGAGATTCTGTGCAACGACCAGGTGCTTTCGCTTGAGATGACGCTTGCGGCGGTGCGACAATTCGTATGGCGGAGTTCTGGGGAGCTTATCATGTACTATCGGAGGAAAGCGAGACATAGTCCTTCTCCTGTTACTCCTGGTATAGCATATTGAGGTATTGAGGTATAGAATAGACGAATTGTGATATGGTTATTTGGACTCTGGACAATTTCCCCTTCTTTCTTCACTAGTATTTTGATTCCAGGTTCAGGTGATGGATTTGGGAAATAGTGTATAAGTTCTTCATGTTCATTGTTAATAATGCTTTGTATAATTGCGTTGTTGTTCAACGTCGTTGTTTTCTTGGAATTTGGATGCATTGCATTGCGGATGTTTTTAAGTTGTGAATATCTGGCTATAGAGCGGCAATTTCTTGCCACGTGAGATCGTCCTCAAACTCCTATACGCGCTGTTGTCCCCGTTTGTATTCACCTCATCTCTCAACACTCACCTCCTCGCAAGTTGCCTTCTTTACACATTGAGAACGCCTAATGCTTTGAATCAACGCGTGTGCGCAAACTACTGTGGCCTTTGTACTCATAGTTCCCAACAAAAATGGCTATAATTCTACGTCGGCGAAACCTCACGCGAATTTTCTGGATCGCCTCTCTCGCCGTCCTTGCACGCCTACTCTTCTTTTCTCCTGCAAAGTCTGTCTCACCAGAAATTCGACGACAAGGTGTACTTGATCTTGTTGCGAGATCGGATAGGTTGGACGTACAGAAGTATGACTTCTTGCAAGTTCGGATAGGGAGGGACGAGAGGCCGGATTTGTTTAGTGATTTTATTCAGGATGGGTTGGAGGATTTTTGGAAGAGGTTTGAGAAGCCTTAGTGAGTGTCTCTTACTTCTTTTGCACATGAAATAAATCTAATGTAGATATAGTATTACGGATAAGATGACTTCACATATAGACCAGCAGAGTGTGATGTCTGCTATCGAGCAACTATTAACGCTAAACGGTTGGGTCGCAGCGCTCTGTCCGACCCTATCCCGTCCTTTCGGACAAAGTGATAACCCATACGACGAAGTCGTTCGAGAGAACCATCTATACTTCGTTGGGATGGTCATCCACTCGGCAGATCATTTCGTCGTGGACCAATTGGCTGTTATCGTTCAAATGGCTCGGAGGTTAGGTTCGCAGAATATTTTTGTGTCGATGTTGGATTATGATTCGCAAGATTCGACGGAGACGTTGCTGGATTTATGTGAAGCTGTTCTGACGTTACTTGGTGTACCGTTCCGAATTCGTAAAGTCCCGCCTATGACTGACGACCCGTCTGCGGCGTATTACCCCCTGGAAGAAGCACATACGCGGAATCTCGTTCTGGAGCCGTTATATGAGCTTTATAATAAGCGGAAAGTCAAGTTTCATAGGGTAATTTGGTTGAAGGGATTTACGTGCCCGAATGATATCTTCGAGACGCTCGTTGTGAGTCGGGAGAACGACGCAGCGATGGTTTGCGGGATGGATTGGGCGGAACATAATGGGTTCTTCATTTTCTCCGACCGATGGCGGACACGAGATATCAACGGTGACCAATTCCGTCAATCAAAATCCTCCAGCGCAGCAAGTGCAGGTCCACCAAGGGATCCAGCAGGAGCAGCACGTTACGCACAACACCTCCCCTTCCAAGTATTCTGTTGTGAGAGCGGGACGCACGTTGTTGACCCGGCGCAGACATATTATACTGGGTTGAGGTATAGGTCGGGAACGGAGATTGCGAATTTGAGTACGGCGGAAGCTGCGCCGAGGAGAGCGCCTGATTCGCCGTGTTTGGATTCGAGTCAAGCGTATTTTTGTAGGGATTTGTGGTTGAGTGCTGCGAGGGATGGTGTACGTGAAGTTCAACAGCGAGCAGGATCGTCGACTAGGGGTGGTGGTGGACTTGGGTTTGGAGGGTTTAAGTTTGGGTGGGGGGCGAAGACGACTGAACCCCCCGTCGATGCTGAGGAGAAAGTGAGACGACACCCGAAACGGAATGAAATCCCTGCGTTCGACCGTAAACAGGTCAAGCGCAATGTTGAAAACGTCAACGAACCTCCAAAACATGTAGACGAAGCACCACTCAAGGACGTAAATGCTAAACGAGACACAGACGACGTACATGAACGTCACAAGCGTGCAGAAGGGGACGGCGCTGCTGCTGGTGCTGCTGGTGGTGGAGCTGGAGGCGGCGGACATGCACAACGAGTCCGTCCAGTCGTAGGCGACGCCGACGCAAACGTCGGTTCTGACTTTGACGCCATGCCAGATTCAGAACTCGAAGGCGACGACCAAGAAGACCAACTCTCACCACCACCACCAGATTCCGATACCTACCCTGACAGCTTCTCCATACCAAACAACGTCTTCCGTCCCGCCCGGATCTTAATTAACCCGCGATGCGTGACGACTTATGCAGGAGTGAGTCATGCACAACTTGCGCTGGATTTGTTTGGTATGATGGATGAGGAGGGGGAGGTGGGGTCGGCGGCGGCGCAGGTGGGAGGGATGGGAGGAGGACCGAACTCGAAGGAGAAGTATGTACTTGAGGATTGGGAGGGTGCGCCTGAGAGTTTTGTTTGTCAGGAACAACGGTGGGTACCCTTGACATCCTACATTCATCTCAAACAGATATACTGACATATCATTTTTAGGGGTACTGGTGGACGAAAAGCACCTAAGACACAACGTCGGTTGGGGTTCTCGATACATGCTGAATTGGATCGTGCGGAGAACGAGGTTACATAGACCCTTTAAGCTATAATACGACCTCTCTTAGATATCTTATTACACTTCGTGTTTGCCTGTATCATTCGTTGCAAGAGTTCTATACTAACCATTTTGGGATTCTTGGATACAGTATAAATGTTAAGCTAAGAATAAAACCAATGCGGTTGCTAACGTGGGCCGGTCATTGAACTTTGCTGGAAGGCAGCATAGGCATTCCGCATCTGAGCACATCTTGGACTGCTTGACACGATGTCGTAAGCCCTTGGTAGCAACTGTTCGAGGTTCTGAGTAGAAATGAGTAGAATATGTTAGTGTCCGGTCATGTTGAGGAGTGAGAAAGCAGAATGTGACTGACCTTGATGCGTTCTTCACTACATGGATGGGTTGGTTTGAGCTCAGGATGCAAGCGGCGGAGTTTATCTTCCAACGCAGCCAAGTGCTGATTAACACTGTCACCAGCAGCCAAGTTGTTAGACTAGAACAATGTTTGGCGCATCGACGGGACCTACGCGATAGCTGCGCGTGGGTCGAAACAAGCACGCGAGGTAAGTTCGAGACCGATTGAGTCAGCTACAAGGCAGTGGAGCAGAACGATATTCAGCCAATTGTTTACGACGTTGTGTGATCACTGTAACATACCTTCTAATTCCTGAAATTGCATATTCGTTGCCATCATCTCTTCATAAATCGCTTGCGCTTGCCGTTGATCCTGCAATGCATACGAAGGGGAGAAGACTAATCTCTTAAGAGACCAGTCCTTTGCCTTGCTGTAACGTTCCGCGAGATGTCTAGCGACTAGTAGGATATATCAATTTATGCCACTTCGGGGATAACAAATGTGGCGTATGGGTATGACTAACCAGCGTGAGCGATCTCTGTGATGTCGTTGCTTTAAGTGTTCTGTTTGTGCCATGTCTAAAATGTTACAGTGAACGTACCGTGTCCAAGAATGGAAGCAAGTTCATGTTCATCTTTACATAAGGAAAGCAGACCCGTAAATACGATAATCCCACCTGCAAGAACGTTTAAGTTCGACGGAAGACATGATGATGAGGCAGATTCATACCAGTGCTAGCAGTTGAGTTAGCGATATGATTGTTTGATATTACTGCCAGCCGCCATTGTCGATCCTTATAGCTTCCCCTTCCATTTATTGATTGGCTGCTACTGGGATGTGTGGAATTGCCATTAGCGGACATAACTGTTCCGAGGTCGTTGGCTTCGAGGATCGTGTTGACTATTCGGCAGACATGTAGAGTTAGGGGGTGGTCATCTGGAAGAATGTCGTCCTTATACTGAGACACAAGGGACGAATATGCATCCTCTCCTAGCTACAGTGCACTTAATATCAGTAAGTGCAGACAGCATCTAGATGATGGCCTGACTTGAGCCTCGATTTCTGGTGTGATGTTCATTTTCCTTCGCCTGCCAGTTTGGGGAACCCTTTCATAGTGACTTCCATCATGGGTAGTTATGCATAGTAAGTCATTTATTTTTGTTACATGCTATTAGATAGGAGAAAGAATTGCTCACCGAAGACCTAGAAAGTGTTGTAGGCCTCCAAATACGGATAGCACAACGAGGAAACTCAGCAATCTTGCAGACTTGAGAAGCTTTGAATTCCTGTCTTCGTTCTCAGACGAAACATTTTGGCTTAAAGATCTGCACCCATGGACACTATTTGAAGAGCTCGGTCTTGGGAGTAGAAAATAGGACTTTAAGCAGAACACAGAAGCCGGGCGAGAGTTGTAAGAAGAGATTCTCTTTTCCGTGATTGAGTTATGGTGACAGTCCCGGAGCACGGTTCGGCCTGAGTTGCGTGAAACGCGCAGTATACTAGTGGTTCTGTTTATACAGAGCATCGTGTAAATTGCTCAATGGCAAATTTCACTAGTCCATGGTACGATGCAAAGAAAGCTGAGGAAAACATATCACGCATGCGACGCGACGCGATGCGCGTTGAGCATTTTGAGCGGAGATTGAACGTATCTGACAATGAATGACATGTCAAGATAAACAGCAGGTATTCGGGAACAGCTCTCTGATTGTCTGCTGTGACGGAATGACAGACAAGTTGCTACGCGTTTCTTCTGATACATATGCAACTCTCTGAATATTTCTACTAATTTACAAATTACATACAGACTATAAGCCAAATATTTGCGAGTCAGCCATAATTGAACGCCACGCTTCTGCGAGTTCTGGATCCTCTCCTTGCACCGACACAGGAATGCCTGAAGCAGGGCTGCCCACAGTTCCACCCATGATAAAGTCAAGGTTTGCGTTCGCATTGTTATCAAGTCCCTGGCCGAACCGTGCTGACATGTCATGCGATAACTCTTCGAGCCACGACGTTGAGGTGAGGGCATGCATGTCTGCGTGTGCTTGGTTTGTGAAAGGTGAGTCGAATGTTGAGGACGGGACAGTGAAGGACGGCGCGGTTATATTCGGAGCAATAGTCGATAACCACTCGTTGTCTAAACTGCCTTGGAGCGATGAATTTGAGGGTGTCGGCTGACTCTGTCGCTGCGGTACGAATGGCCAAGAGAATGTCTGCTGTGACGGGAAAGGCGCAGAAAAAGCACTACTATGCTGCGTTGGAGAAGACACCTCGGTTGCAAGTGTCCTGACAGGTGACGCTGAATGCGCTGAACGTTCGCGCCTGACGGGAGTTGCTGGCGTGTGGCCTCTGGAAGGGGACCTCTCATCACTCGACTCGGACGACTTCCTGCTCATCCTGTTCACAAAAATAGGTATGCCACCTAATATGCTAAGTTCCTGTCGTGCATTCCCAGTATTTTTTGGAACAGGCCTATGTGCGCTCCTCGCCTTCTCAAGGAAGCGTTCTAGGAATGGCTGCATGCTGGATTAGAATGAAGATAGTAGAAACGCGAAAGACGCCGACTTACCAAGGCCCGTTTTGATACAGGATGCATCTGTGCGTTCTTGAATATGTCAATAGCTGCTTCTAATTCTTTAAGAGCAGGTGCGGCGACGAATGATGCTGGGCCTCTGCAGGCTACTGAACCAACTATAATCTGTTGAAGAGTCAGATTCGGAAGTGACCAGGTGAACAACGTGGAAACGAACTGTAGATGATAATGCATGTGCCCAGACCATCCACTGGCGCATCAGCAGATCTGGGTATCTATCGAAGTAGACTCGTAAAATCTTCAGCAACGTAACTGCGCTTGCATACGCAGACAATAAAGACGATGCGAAAGGACTGCCGAGAGGCCTGACTGGATTCTCGAGTAGAGCGCGAGCAAAAAAGCCGCGATGCAAGGAAAGCAATGCTTGAAGTGAAGCATTAGACTTTACGACAAACCATAAACATTGAAATTACTGACAGACTTCCTGGATGAGCGCCCAATGGAAGCGACGCAACGAAGTCGTGAGCTCTTCATCAGGTTCAGGAGATTTCGGCATTAACAGCGACGAAGGCATTTGAAACTCTCGACATCTTCTGTCAAGTTCTATGACTTCAGCATACTTAATTGGTCGAGCCAGACAAAGGAGTTCAGCAATGGGCGCCATAACTTCCTTCATGAAGCGAAATTTCCAATGCCAGTCTACACACAAACTGCATTAGCTCTGTGCTCTTTATTGAAACCACTAGAGTACAGGGCGTACAGCTTGGGACGATATTGCCATCCTCATCAATAGTTGCATACTTGTCTTGGGGGAATTCTACATCAATTTCGTGTAAGTTGAATGTTGCTGGCCGACCTGACTCGACGCTCTGGTAGATTTTTAAGAAAGAACAAGCAAACAAACAAACAAAAGTAACGTGAGCTGGAAGTGCATACGATAATAGAAGTCAACGAGTTTTACCGTCCATTTGTCAGAAGTAAACAACTCCCAGAAAAGTCGGCGCCTGCGCTGGACAATCCTTGGTTCCAGGTTCCAACGTGCCGGATCACGATCTGTTATTCCGTCATTACGCAGAATACTCAGATACTCCGATCTAATAACTCACGTAATCCAATCTAAATCACGAAAGCAACGAAGTTCAAGAAAACCGAGTCGTATCGCATAGTGAACCACTTACACTGGAGGCAAGGGAAAGGCCAAATGACAACATTTTCCAGGAAGGTTCAAGGGATGACTTTACACATGCGAAGAAACCATATGCCGCAAGCAGAATAATCGTCTGGACATGCTCCATGGATGCCCCGGTGAATACGGAGTTAATACTCAAGGCTGCGCGAGCTAGGTGAGTGAACAATTCGGCTTCCTCATTTCCAATTGGAAGTGTAAGGTCTCCGGCGGCTCCGTTTCCGAACACTGCAAGCAGAAGCGCCAAACGGTTTATGTAATCTTTGTCGTACTCATTATCACCGTTTCCCAATGCGTTGGAAGTCCTCGGCCGCTTGTAGACAGATGGCAAGAGCTCTTCAAAAATCTGCTCGCGATCGACGATAACAAGTGACCATGCTATGTTCGACAAATATGCTTCCACTAGAGCAGTTGCTCTCGCATATGATGGTAAGCATGCTTCAATCGTTCTCAGAATCTCGCCTTTGGGAAGGTCAGCAGGTGCGAACGGAAAGACTCGGCTAACGGATAGGATTTGTTGAGGGACGTTGTTCGGTTCTTGCAGCTTCTCGCTTAAAAGTCCGTCCTGTCCTGGTTGCCCAGAGTTCGAGTCATCTAGGACCTGTTGAAGATCCATAAATGCACTTGGCAAGTCAGCGGAAGCATCGCTCACCAGAAGGAATGCCTTCAGCCAAAAAGTACTTTATGTGAGTTCAGTTCATGCTGAGTACTAAAGCACTCACTTCAGATGAACCACGCCCCATGAAACACGTTTCTCCATAGTCAGAAATGCTTAAAGTGCCCAGCCCTGAAGTAGAGCTAGTAGGAGCCCTGTCCGCAACATCTTCGGAATCTTCTCTTTCAGCCATTATATCAACGCAAGACTTGACTGCCAGCAACTCTTCTGAGAGAAGAGGATGGCTGACGGGCGTGACGCTTGCCTGTGCAATCTGGAGCGCATCTTCAAGTTGCCGAATTCGTGCACTCATTCGGAGCAGTTTTTCATGAAGTCTGTCGGTATTTGCGAGGACGAACCTAATGCGTACGGAAGAGACAGCAATCGTTAACTATCAGTACTGGCGTAAACGAAGAAATTATGCTGATACCTCGATCCTTGACCGGATGCCAAGGAGCCTGTTGACGAAGTTAATTCTAGTAATAAAGAAGTGAATGCAACGGATAACCACCGTTTGGACAGATCGTCTGACAACCTCTGCGAATGCAAGACGTACATGGTACCTTCCATATATGAGCTAGTAAACATCATGAAGCATAAAGATCAGAAAAGAGACACCTTTCTATCGCATTTGAGTTTCAATCTTGTGAACAAGGCTATGAGTTATTGCCGGGAAAGACGGTAACACCCCCCTTACCTCCGACATTCGGCGCAAGAGGCTTCTCCCTTTGCTCGCCTAGTTTCTAGGTCACGTTCGCGGGGCAACGCCTTGTAGGCTGGGACCTTGCCGTTCAAATCGGGCGGCATCACGAGTATTCACGATCTTCTTGTCGCTTGGTGACAGTTTGAGATTACGCAGGAGCTTCACTTAAACGCTCGGGGAGCGGAAGGAGTTCAACCCCACCAATTCGTCATGCGGTCCGAGGTCCCTGATGATTCGATAGTCATATGTTCTGTAATAGGCGATAGAAGCATGATTATAAAATGAAGCAATCGTCTCATGAGAAAACAAAATACCCAATGAGAGCTGCGGGCTGGCGGGATGTTAAAAGCTGTGAAGCGAGGCAGTATTTCTTAGCTTACGGCACTGATACGCCTGTCACAAAGGATTTCCTAATGTCTGGTTGTTGTGCGAGTTGTATAAAAGGAAGAAAAGTTCATGAATCAGGAACTTAGATGCAAATGTTTGCTTTGTCGATCTTCCCTTTTTAGGAATTTATAATTCACAACAAATGATCGACTTGCAATTTAATTTCCAACCATATCGCGACTTGAAGTGTGCCCATTAACACTATTTGCTTGCTCGGTCACCCTTACTGCTAGGACGGCGCTCAATAGCTCCTATTTCTCTATTTCAAAATGGGTATCTTGATTTTTGGGTTTTCTTTCGTCTCTTATATCTCGGTTGTAAGCTGCGCTCCTCGTGCCACTCTGGATAGGCTTACCCATCATGAATTGTATAACCGGAACGGGTTGGATGCCCTTGCTCAGCCCAAGGAACAGAGAGGCGGAATGTATGTGAATAAATCTAGTTCTTTCCCTATGGGTGCCTCTCGCACCTCCGGCGACAGAATAACGGACTTCCATACTTTTACGGGTCGCAGGGCTGTTCCAATAGCTATTCCTCTAATGTCCGTCGTCTTCATCTTCCTGGCTCTACTCTCCGTCAAGGTAACATACCTGAAGCAACGTCGTCTGCAGACTATACACGAACTTCCAACTCTTCTGGTTAGCATTCATGAAGAAGACGATCAAGATAACATATTTGGATACCCGCCTACTGGAGAGGTCGACAACGAGAACCATGGGCTTTCAGTACAGAGTCACACTACGCGTCTGGTTTCAAAATATTCAAACGTTACACATTCCTCCAACAAGGTGACTTACAATGTCCGCCGCCGCCCCGAGTCCGCTCCAGGGGTCCTTGTGGGCATGCTCGGAAGTCCAGACTGGGAAACGAATATGCAACGCGAACTTGCAAACCATCACTGGCGTCTTCGCAGCGAGTCCCGAAGTTCCTCTGCTAATCGACACACTTGGCATTCACAACAGCCCTGTATGTCCTTACACCGAGCAACTAGCGCAAAGCGTGGGTCCGAAGCACGAGGTGCTAAAGGACTACCAGCGAGACATTCGAGTCTGCGAATGCCGCATGTTTCAAGTTTTGAAGAGCTGGACTCGGACATATTTCAAAATTCGAGACGGAGGCCAAGGTCCTTCAATGCTGTCGTTGATCGTATTCGCGCAAGTCGAAGTCGTTCCATCTCAGATCGTTCATCGCTCGCAGGAAATAATTCGCAGTTAGGCTCTTATTTAGCAGATGCAAGTAGTGGTGCGTTGGCCAGGTTATGTCGTCATCAACCTTCAACGATTAGAGAGGCAGACAAGCCGCATTCCACATTGCCATTTTTCCATGACACAACATTTCGCTTCGAGGTGACTGACTACGGAGACGGTACACTTGTTCACAACTCTAATTATCCGTCGCCTATGGTTGATGAATTACCGGTGCGTATGAGCAGTATCGAAAGTGGACTCGATTCGGGAAACATGGTGATGTCTACCTCTTACGAAGGTGTAAACTCGAGCAGGGACTCTAGTATCGGGAGTTCTTGAGGCAGCTACCTCAGTTCCCCTCCCCACCTGCAACACCTCTATCGCCAGAATTAGCGACTCCTCAGTTCCCCAATGAAGTGAATGTCAACGCTGTGTGCGTCGAATCACGTTACTTTGACGAGCATTTCTACAACCGAATAATAACTGGGAGAGAGACTAGACAACCCACATTTCGCGCTTCCGGACTTGGCTTAGGACTCTTTGGGAAGAATAGGCGTGACAAGAAGACGAACAGTTTGACTTCCTTGGACTCAGACCCAGACTTTGAATTGTCCAATTTGCCAGATATGCATGTCTCACATCTACCAGACACTCGCCTTGATCCCCTCAACGCGAGTAACTGTCATGGTCCAACCCCTAGTCTGCATTCTCCTGAATTCTCTTCTCCTGAGCTGGCACAGTCCTCTAATATAATCCGAGAACAGGAAGGGTGTGCTATTAAAAAAAACAACGCCGAAGTACAATTCCTCCGCCCAGCTACGGCGAAAATTCTGAATCGGCATCATTCTCGTGTTCGGCAACACGTTCCGTTCTCTATTATTGCGCCTCCGCCGGCGTATCTCAAAAGATCGCAGTCATTTGAGCGTTCTGGACGCTTCTCTCGGAAGGGACTTCTTGCGACTAAATGGCATAATGATTGTCAGGACCCGTCTAGCCGTACTGTATCTCTTGTTGACCTGTCTGTGCCTGTTCGGCCTTCACCTCTAAGGCGCGTGGCCTCTATGGGTTCTGTAGGTTCTTCTGCTGCTTCGTCTAGGGGTCTCGGGAGACCCGGAAGTATCGGTACATATCCCGGTACAGCTTCGAATGCTGTAGCAGGAAACGGGGACGAAATTGCTACGAATAAGACTACACAAGGCCGAAAGACTGGAGACGGTTATCCTGCGGTTAATGAGGCACGGGCCGCAGAACCCGCAGTGGCTACGTTGAAGTCAAAGATCTCCCATACATCCTTGTTCCTTGATCTCGGTGGATCTACTGTTGACCTTGAAGATGACCAAAGCCTGTCTTGCTTCTTCGATACTTCTGGCAGCATAGGTACGTCAACAGTCTAACATCTCGTTTCATCTCGGAACGGAAGATTGACTAGAAATACCAGATATGCATAGGGGCCTTGGTTATTTACAGGGAAGTTCCTCCGGAGTTCTTGCGATTGCGGAGGAATGCTCGGATGAGGATATCGAATATATCGCGGAGGTTCATTCGAAGTCTTTTGGAGGCGTCGGTCATGATGCCGATGACGATCGTGGGCTATGAAGGGGAGAGCCTTGGTTTGGACGTATGCATGATTCCAAATTTCACTTTTGATACCTTTATTTTTCCGCTGCGCGATTCGATTGATGATTCATGGCTTAAGAATTCCCTTTTTCACACGGCGACACCTTTTAGGCCATCGTCTTGTGCTTCCTTTGATACCCCTTTAGAATAGTCGGCCGGACCCGACGCTTATACCCCGTAATTTTAATATAGTGCTATGTTTGGACCCAGAAGTCTCCTGTCTGAATAGTTTAATACGGTTTAATAATGCGGTGTATCTTACGTGTCACCCGGGAATGGTACGATAGATTCTCCTGCGGCACCGATTCAATGTCGGAGAAAGATTTTGAACGGCATCTTTGCCTTTGATCTAGGTCAAAAAGCTCGGTCGTCAGAGACCGAATACAACTACAGTGAAACCTGTCATTAAGCATGACCCACCGTGGACAGGTGAGGCCATGCTTAATAAGAGGTTATGCTTGTTGACAGTAGCTTAAGTAAAGTAATAAAATTTCCTTATTTGTAGTACATAACTCAATAATACATTGTCTACTTAAAAAACAACTGAATATCAGTCTGTTCAAGAGAACTATTTATTTTCTTACATAGGTTTCTTGTAAGCTTTGGAAAAAGTGCTCTAGCCTCAGTAAACTCAGCACTAATCTCACTCTGAAAGAGTGTATTAAGCTTTGAAAGTAATTGGACAGCCTCCACATAGCTTTTAATGCTTCAACTTCAGTGCTTTGCCATAGGCAGGATCCTTTGGTAGAGATGTATCATTGACTGTACTTGTTTGTGGATGAATACTAGTGGAAGCATAGATATCTGGAAGCAGAGCTGAGAGATTGACAGAGGAAGCTTCTCTAGAATAAGTGAAAACAATTTCACTAGCATCCTTGAGTGTTCTATCTGGGTTCTGTGCACATCCAAGCTCCTCAGACATGATGAAAAATAAGTTTTAATAGTGGTTTTCATTACATTATGCATTTATTTTACAAAATGGAGGTGGCCTGTACAAAAAGTGGCTCTCTCCAGGTCATGATCTGCACTGTCACATGACCCAAAATTTCCTTTAATTAAGCATATTCTCAATCTCACACCTTAATGCTTAATGCTTAATGTCCTTTATGCTTAATATACCTCTATTTTCCTGCCTACCAACTTGGTGGATCAAATTTTTCATGCTTATTGAGAGGAAATGCTAAACTACAAGTATGCTTATTGACAGGTTTCACTGTACGTTCAGTTGAGGTGATCTGGACTGAGAGGACCAATGAGGAATGATGAAAGCGTACTCTGTATTGAGCAGGGCAGGGAAAGCAAAGCTGACTCTAAATAATATAGGGTAAAGTAATTAGAGTGATTACAAATGGTCCCGAGGTGCATCGTGGCGAAAGGTCTAGGTGTATTGATGTCTACGTATGTATGATGTTACTTTTTCTGAGGACGAGTCTTCTTGTACAATTCTTCGAGTTCTTTCTGGGCTTGTGGGAGGACGGGTGCGTGTGTCTGGGGTGAAGCGAAGCGAAAAGATAGACAAATCGGTCAGAACAGAACAGAACGAAGGGATGATAATGAAGGCGGGAAGGGTAGGAGAGGTAGGAGAAGCAGGAGGGATAGGAGGAGATGAGACGAACCTTGTATTCCATACTGAACTCGCCCTTGCCTTGAGTCTGCCCACGAAGTTGACTTGAGTAGCCGAACATGTCGTTAAGAGCGACTTCGGCTGTGACAGTGAACTCGTCGTCTCGGACTTCGCTGTCGAGGATTGTGCCGCGGCGGGAGGTGATGCCACCGATGACGTTGCCTGAAAAAAATCAAACAAATTAAATTATTAAATTGGCGTTGCTGAGAAAATCGGATGGAGGATGCAACAACGTACTTTGGAATTCAACGGGTGCGACGACCTCGACTGTCATTATGGGTTCAAGAATAACAGGCCGCGAATTCAAATAGTTCTCTCGAATGCCCGCAATCGCACAAAGACGGAACGCCAATTCAGACGAGTCAACAACATGATACGACCCATCCTTCAACACAAATCTAATACCCGTAATCGGTGCACCACACAAGTTCCCCTTCCTCAGCGCCTCGTAAAAGCCCTTCTCAACACCAGGAATGAATTGTTCAGGTATATTCCCACTCATCACGACGTTCTCGAATTCCTTTTCTCTGCCTGTTTCGGGATCACGTTCCATAGGCTCGATGTATCCCGTTATGCGTGCGAATTGACCTGCACCTCCGGTTTGCTTTTTATGTGTGTATGTGAACTCGGCGCGTTGGGTGGGAGTTTCTCGGTATGCTACTTGTGGACGACCGGTGGTGCATTCGACGTTATACTCGCGTTTCATACGCTCGACGTATACTTCGAGGTGAAGTTCGCCCATACCTGAGATGATTGTTTCTTTACTCTCGTGATCGATGTGGACTTTGAACGTTGGGTCTTCGCGTTGGAAGCGGTTTAGGGCACGGGAGAAGTTGGGCGTTTCTTGGCCGACGGGTTTGAGCGCGAGGGAAATGACTGGATCGGGGACGAACATTGATGACATGGAGTATGCCGTCGAGCCGTCTGTGAAAGTATCTCCCGAGGCACACTCAACGCCGAAAATCGCACAGATTTCACCAGGCCCAATGGAGTTGATGTCCTCCATTTCGTTACTGTGCATTCGAACGAGGCGGGGAACTTTGACTCGCTTGCCTGTACGTGCGTGGAAGATGTTTTGCGATTTGCGGAGACTGCCTTGGTAGACACGCATGTAAGTGAGTTGACCGAACCGGCTTTCTTCTAGTTTGAATGCTAGAGCGACGAGTGGGGCGTCAGCGGCGGGTATAAGTGGAACGGGAGGAGCGGAAAATGGAAGTGAAGTGTCATGCGCGACGACATCTTTCTCTGATGGATTAGGTAGGTACGCGCAGACACCGTCGAGCATCGGTTGGACAGCCAAGTTCTTAATCGCGGAACCGAGGAAGACGGGGGAGAACCTGAGACCGACAGTAGCACGTCGAATAGCAGCGACGAGTTGCTCCGTTGTCGGTTCCTTCTCTTCAATAAACAATTCAGCAATTTCGTCATCGACATCCGCGAGAGCCTCGATGAGTTCTGTTCTCTTCTGTTGTGCAAGCTCCAAGACTTCCGCGGGGATCTCGTCGGATTCTACGATAGTGCTGCCTTTGACGCCTTCGTTGTAAATGGATTTCCAGCGCACGAGGTCAACAACGCCCTTGAGTTCCTCTTCTTGGCCGATGGGAACTTGTACTGCGGCGGCGGGTATGCGAAGCTTTGTCCGAATTTGGTTGATCACTCGCCATGGGTTTGCACCTGGTCGATCCATCTTGTTGATAAACGAAATGCGGGGAACATTGTACCGTCTCATTTGCCTATCAACCGTAGTCGTTTGGCTCTAAATCATGAATCAGTATCCTGCTCTCCTTCTGTCCAGTAAATACGACGAACCTGGACGCCAGCAACTGCACACAAAACCAGAATAGCACCGTCAAGCACTCGTAGTGCACGTTCGACTTCTATTGTGAAGTCTACGTGCCCAGGAGTATCGATAATGTTAATCGCGAATGGCTTTTTCTCGCCGGTAATTTGGTCCGTTGCGTCCCAGTCGCAGAAAGTTGCGGCGCTTTGAATGGTGATACCTTTCTCCCGTTCGAGTTCCATGTGGTCCATCTTAGCACCGACCGCATCTTTCCCTCGTACCTGTGAGGAGAATGAGCTTCCGGTCTACTAAAAGATAGTAGCAAAAGTTGCTCACCTCGTGAATGTCACGAATACGTCCAGTGTAGTAAAGAATGCGTTCCGTTAACGTCGTTTTTCCAGAGTCAATGTGCGCCGAAACACCAATGTTTCTTTGTTTGCCCAACCGTATATAATCTTTTTCTGTAAGAACATGTTTCGGTGCGGGTGGTTCCTCTGCTCTCGGAGCAGGCCTAGGTTTCAAAGCAGTTGCCGTCGCGGCATGTCTAATGAACGTAGGACGAGATACCCAAAGACAGGAAGATGAAAGCAGAGCACGCGAAACCCGAATAGATAAAACCATAGCTGAAGGCCGCCCTGCACAAATGAATGTGCAGGACCTTTTGCAGAGAGCGGTGGAGGGAAATAGAGAGAGCTAATTGCCAGCTAAATTTCTTGCTGCCGGTTACTTCCGACGGTAATCGTGGGAACAACAGAATCACACAACTCAGACGCTATCACATATCAACGTCAAATCAGTAAATCACTGCAAGTTGTTTCACAGCTGAGGTCATGTACTGGCCAAACCAACAGATACGTACACTGTGCCAAGTGGTAGAAACATCTATTACTATTAGGGCAGGTTGGGGTGCACAGCGACCAGGGTGTTCAAAAGAATAAAACTGGAAATATTGTGCAGAAATTAATATAAGAATATTTCAGCTCCTCGACTCACAGCATAGATAGGTATTTATTGTAGTTGATACAGCGTCGACTATTCCAACTCAATTTTTCTATTGAGTATGTATCTGTGTATGTTAAATGCAACCTCCTTAGTTCCTATTTTTTTAGATTCACCAGACGATGGATGTACTGCGTTCTCACGAATACAACGTCCTCATATGGAAGCGCGACTCAAATGTTCGTGCCAGGTAACGTGGCTTCATCGAAACACTTCTCCTCCAATCCGCCATGGTAAGCACTACAGGTCACTAGACTAGAATCATAATATCGTAACACTCTACTGCGATGATAGGCATCCTCGACAGCATCCGAATCTGTCCCAATCGAAACGCACCATGAAGATATGATCGTTAGTGTTGCTCTTACCTGTAACGCGTGAATTGAGTGTCCTGACGTGTTCGCGTTTAGCATGACGCGCAGCTCGACTACTACGGAAAACGATTGGCAACATGTTCCTCGGATAGGACCGTGAAAGTCTTCGACGTTATTGATGGTGATGCGCAGAAAACGGCGGGAGGGCAAGTGCTCAAAGGGTACGCACGAGCTTTACAGTTGTAAACGTTATACAGGTAATAGACACGTTTACAGACACACTGGTCCTGTGTGGCAGGTTTCCTGGGCACATCCAAAATACGGACATATCCTTGCTACGTGTTCTTATGACGGAAAGGTACTCATCTGGAAGGAGCAACAACAGCAAGGTAGTACCTCGGGAACTTGGTTGAAGATCAAGGAGCATAACTTGCACAGCGCGTCTGGTACGTGAAAATCATCCATTCATCTGTCACAACCTAAGCTTACCTATTGTACTTTGCAGTGAACTCAATTTCATGGGCACCGCATGAACTCGGTGCAATTTTAGCATGCGCATCTTCAGATGGCAAACTCTCTGTGCTTACATTCAAAAGTGAGTTCTTTTTCGCTCTTCTGTGCTCAAGCATTTGTCTTATCATCGACGCAGATGATGGCTCATGGGATGCCGACATCTTCAACGGACACGCTATCGGTTGCAACGCCGTCTCCTGGGCACCCGCCGTCCTTCCAGGCTCTCTCATAAGTCCCGCCCCACCCGCTCCCCAAGCACCAGGCGCAGGCGGCACTCAGCCCACCCAATCTCCCGTAGCAACAACAAAACGCTTCGCAAGTGCCGGATGCGACAACGTCGTGCGTATCTGGGGATTCAACACCCAGTCACAGTCGTGGGTAGAAGAAGACGTACTCGCAGGACACAACGACTGGGTCCGCGACGTAGCATGGGCACCTAACATCGGACTTCCACGCAGTTACATCGCAACCGCCTCACAAGACCGTACAGTCTTGATCTGGACGAAAGACGCACCGAACACACCGTGGGTGAAAACTGCTCTTGACCCATCGACGGTTTCGAGTGCTGTTTCCAACGCACCGCCTAGTGGGCAACCCGCTCAGCCTGGGAAGTTCCCAGATGTGGTTTGGCGCGTTTCGTGGAGTTTGGCGGGGAACATCTTAGCAGTTAGTTGTGGTGATGGGAAGGTTACCCTCTGGAAGGAGAACTTAAAGGGTGTTTGGGAATGTGTTAATGAGTTGGCTAGCTGAATTTTTCTTTTCTTTTTGTACGTGTAGAGCGCTTCGCCAGGTATTTTTTTCTTTTCATGATCTTCCGACCGTTAATAAATCCCTACACTTCACATTATGCACGTCCTCAGAAGAAGAGTGATAAAGGCAGCCTCCAGAGCAGTGGAATTGGTATCAACGACAGTTGTCTAGGTCCTGACAGGCCCGGTCTAGCTGTCCACTTGGCCCACGCATCTTCCGCCATTTACTTAAACTAGGGGACAACAGAACAAGATGGGTGGATAGCAGAACGGCTGGACTCGCACAAATGAGACTGTGATTCATGACAGCATTGAATGCATTTTCTACACTTACTTCTCTAGCCTGTCAATCACACAAGGTACAATCATCTACTACTGAATACAAATTTTATCCGAGTGATGGAAGAAGATATGAACATTTGTTTCGCTTGTACATTCCTTCACATTCCTTTTTACTTTCCTCATAACTTTGTTGACTTTCTTGTATTTGACTTATCATATTCTTTACACGTTCCTCGAATTTGTTGTCAATCAGATTAAACCGTTATTCTATTTCTGCTATAATTTGATTGGAACGTTTGAGCTTGCACTTCATAGTCCTTGGATCTCTGCTGCTGCTACTGTTTTCGCTCATCCGAGTCAACCGCCGTATTTATTCTATCCACTTGATTTGACAATTCAACCGACCAATCCGATTTCTAGTCTCATCAAGTATCAAGTATATGCATCTCCTTATTTCCTAACCAATCTGCAAATTACGATCCCAAAGGGTGCTCAGAGTCGATGCTTGCACGAATGGTGTCCATCACGGTTTACCTTTTATTACTGCAACACAATCTACTTACTTTCCTGTCATTGTCTCTCTTCCAACTTGTATGTCTTGTGATATGCAAGAGAAAAAAATAATATTGTGCATATAAACTAATGAGAGTATTTAATATGTAGTTTTATGAGTGTTATACTATCTTGTAGTCAAAAGGCAGGCACTGAGTTGTAGTATTTGGATTTTGGAAGGTAACATTCTAGACTCTAGAGAGATAACCCGACGAAGGTGATCACGCAGGGGCTGGTTGACTCCATATTTGCAGCAGCAAATTTTGGTTATATGTTAACTATTCTTCTCATGTTCTTACCCATTTACTCATGACCTTCTACTCTTTGGTGACTTTTTCGTAACTTATCCTTCACTGGCACAGGAATTTAGAAACAAAGTCACAGTTCTATCAAGCAAGGCTGGATGCAGAAATTATAAGTTATTAGCACAATGTGGAACCATGCAGAAGAGCTTCTTTATTCAATTTCTCTAAATCATTTATTTATTGCATTACAGCTTGTCTACTACTAACTATATATTACTTATCCGACCTGCTGCTTGTACCTTCTATGTCAACATGACTGTTATTTATTGAGTTGTTTAATTCTTTAAACTTTTTGTAATGTTCCTCCAATTTACCATGGAAGTCATAAACATCATCCAAGAAATCCTCTTCAGCTTGCTTGATCTGCTTTTGTGTACCTACTACAACAGGGTTCTCATTTTGATCTTTCTCCCCAGCTTCCCCAGATTTCTGCTTCTCAGAGTCTTGTTTTTGTTTTTCAGCAGCATATTTTTCAATGACTTCCTTCCGTTTAAAGTGTCGAATGAAGTAGTCAGACACGATTCGTAATGCTTCAGAGCAGTCGGATGCACTACGATGAACGAACAACTTGTTGCCTGCTGGAATATGCTCGTCTGCCTTGATGTTTGAGACCGAACCATTAGAAGATGTCCTTGGTGAGTGTCCTTCGTAATTGTCCATTTTTACTGCTCCATTGACTGACTTCTCCGTGCCAGCACTCGAATGATGCCGAAGCTGACTGTCGCCCTTAGCAAAGCTGGATGAACGTGTGTGGCCATTAGAACTAGCGTGACTAAGCTCTCTTTTCAATTTGGCCGCTGCATCTATTGAACTGTTGCGATGATGATGCTGAGACACAGTTGAGTCAGTTGAGTCAGCCCTTGAACTGCTTCTGGTGTGTTGCTCTGGCCTACTCATTGCTGGACGTAGCAGTGCACTATAGTCTTCCTTCTGATATCTGGCACCTCTTATAGGTACACCAGAGGAGCAAAATAGTATCGAGGGAGTGACGCATTGTATTACAATCAAACCATAACAGGATGTGCAATCATTGCTTATACTACATACTGAAACAAATAAGAATCCCTAATTGGACAATGAAGACTACAATGTTTTCCAAATTTGTAATGAACTATTAGATGTATAACACAATTCCATTTCATTTATGTATGCCAAGTACTGTAAGCTGTAAAGAATATAAAGGTCTAATTTGCTATTGCTCCTAGGATGGTTTAGGCTGAATATTCATAGTTGCTTAGTACTGTTACTACAAACATATTATTACATAATGTGCAAACATGCTTGTACTGTCTTAAAACTTTGCCTCACAATTACTCTGATTACAGAGGCTTAATTGTGTTCTGATTATGTGTAGTGTGAATTGAACTGTATTCAGTTTGTAATCTCTTTACATGAGTTGTTTATACAGTTGTACTATTGTAGAAAAGTCTAGAGGCTTATTGTTAGGGGAGATATGTTCTCTAGGTTGATAGTACTCTCAAACTGTGAATGTAGACCTGCAGCCCTTAAACCAACTATATTCCCAAAGCTACCAGCTAGGATTTATACTAGGAGAACAAGTAGGAATACAAGAAGAGTCCAAAAAACTAAGGAACTACTGTATCTACAGACTACTTTTTATAATAACTAAATAACAAGAGCAAAGTAAGGAATAAAACTTGAGAATAAGATCAAAGAAATAATAATAACAAATATTACAAAGCCAACAGGCACATTAGAGGCTAGGAAGAATTAACAGAGTATTGTGTATCAGAGAATATAGGCTAAGAGGCCATTGTACAAAAGAGGCACAAGTTACCATATTGGGCAAGAAATGGATTGGCTATATTGTGATTGTACACACTACCTCACATCTCTGTAGCTCTCTCCTACACTCAATACTAATACAATCTCTATGAAACTTTGTAGAATAATAGATAAGATGTTAAGAATTATGAAAATCTAGTAGTAATGTTGGTTTTTTTGCAAAACTAATAGAGATATAAAGAAAAGAAAATAGGTCTAATCCTACAATCCTAACATTACCTCCCTCCTTAGGTTGTATGTCCCAGACAACTGAATCTAAGGGTTATTTTGTCTAAGCAAAGTGTTAAAGTCCTTAAAGGTTCCTTTTAGAATGTTCAGTTATTTTAGAACACTAGGGTAGACTTTGTAGAAATCCCTAACAGTATTTGTTAGAACACAAACATTTATTAGTATATATAGTATGAACCAGGTGTCAAGCCAAGCTTGACATTGTACCCTTTTAGTGAAGAGGTTCTATGTATAGTCTACTATATATAGTAATCTCTCACATAATGTCAAGCTTAGAGCAGTCAGGGGTTTGATTCTAATGTAGGGTTGTTTGTAAGCAAAAGTATTAGACTAAGAATAAGCTTCCTAAAGGGGGGGAGTGAATTTCTCAGTTGCTTGGAATACTAGGGCCAGAACTCTATATTAGGATATCTCTTCCTACCTCTAAAGACTGTCAAGATTAAGTTAGAAATAGTAACCCTTAGGGTCAAACTCTATATACTAGTTATGTAAGAACACATGACTCTAGAGAGGAGAGTAATGTTAGAACACAAACATTTATTAGTATATATAGTGTAAACTAGGTGTTAAGCCAAGCTTAATATTGCACCCTTTTAGTAAAGAGGTTCTATGTATAGTCTACTATATATAATAATCCCTCACAGTATTCTAAGTATGAGTAAGGTCATTTTCTGACTACTAAGTTGCTTCCTAGTATCCTACCTATTTGACAAGGAACTAAAGCTTTTCTTTATAGAGTCAAGAGTCAAGGATAGTCTTGACTTTATATTCAATCTCATTATCTACAAGTTCTAAGAAAGGAGGAGGAGGAGCCTTCTGAATATTAAAGATTTGAGGAACATATAGTTTGAGCAGAATCTTATTGAGTATTAAGTGAGTCAACCATCCCTAAGGTAGTTTGAGCCTATATGTACTAGCTCTAACTTTTGAGTCAACCTTAAAAGGACCAAACCATTTGTCATCAAACTTTTTAGTAGGTCTAGTAGTTTTTATGTTCCTTAAGTCTAAACACACTATATCTCCTAGCTTGTACTGTATAGAGGAGTCTGAATAACAATTATAGTACTTTTTTATAGCTTCAGCAGTTTAGTCTAGACTTTTCTTTACAAGTTCCTAAACATCTTTAATATACTTAACCTATTGTTCAACTAAATATATACTAGTCTTAGTTAAAATCAATCTAAAGCCTACAGAGTGTCTTCTAGAGTTAACATAGAACAGAGAGAACTTTGTAACAGAGTGTTCTTAATTGTTATATACAAACTCAGTCATAGAAATCTATTCTGCCTAGTCTGACTGTCTATAGTTAACATACAAGTAGAGATACTGTTCTATCTCTTGATTAATACACTCAGTTTGACTATTAGTTTAAGGATAATATACTGTAGAGAGATTCCCTTCAATATAAAGAGTTTTGTAAAGTTCTCTCATAAACTTAGTATTGAATTACAGTCCTCTGTCATGTATAATTTTCCTAGGTAATGTATAGAGTCTAAAGACTTGATCCTTGTATAGTCTAGCTATTCCCTCAACTGTAACCTTTATAGTAGTAGAAAGAGTATGTATTTACTTAGAGAAACAATCTATAATAACACAAATAGTGTTAAATCCCTTTGACTCAAGTAATTCACTAATTAAATTAACAGATATTACCTACTAAGGTCTAGCAAGTGTATTATAAGAATGTAATGCCTTTTATTGTGTAGTGTGTAGGGATTTTGTTCTTTAGCATTTATTACAATCTTAAACATACTTCTTAGTGTCTGTCCTTATTTGTAACTACTAGAACTCTCTCTAAATCATTTCAAGCATCTTCCTATACTCTAGATGTTCTACAAGTAGGGAATCATAATATTCCTTCAGAACCATTAGTATAAAGTCTAATAGAACATATATCTTCAAATTCCTATACATATAGTTATTTCTAATAAGTATACTAGCTAAGTACTCCTCTTCTTTATTTAATAATTCCTACTAAGTGTTCTGGATCTTTTGTAGAATGACTTTACTACCTGTATATACTATTCCTCTTAAGTAGGATTCTTTAATAAAGGTAACATCTTTGTTATCATACTCTCCCTTATTAAATTAAGGACTTCTAGATAGTGTATCTACTTTTACAAGTGTTTTTCCAGGTTTATACATTAAAACAAAGTTATAGTTAGCTAGTTCTGTTCTCTAGCAAGCCTGTCTATAGTTTAACTTGTAGGGAGCCTTAAAGTATGTCAAATTGGTATGGTCAGACTATACTTTAAAGGTTTGTCTTACTCTCAACAAGTACTAGTGTTAGTCCTTAATAGCTTTAATAATAGTAAGTATTTCTTTATTATAGATCTTATAATTTTGCTCTGTAGAGTTTAGAGACTGAGATCTGAATGTTACAGGATACTATACACTATTTTGCTTTTGAGAAAGTACTGCTCTAAGTGTGTAATTAGACAAATCAGCTTCTACTCTAAAGAGATCATACTTATTTAGAATTGTAAGGACAGACTGTAAGCTCAATTGTCTCTTAAACTCTTTCATAGTCTCTCTTTACTCATTTCCCTAAGTGAATAGAACCTTCCTAGTTAGTTTAGTGAGTAGACAAGCTATTTTACTATAGTCCTTAATGAATCTCTGATACTAGTTGTAGAAACTAGTAAACTGTTGTAATTACTTTAAGTTCTTTAATTCTAGCCATTCATTAATAGGCTTTACTTTTTCAGGTGTATTTGAATCTCATTATTCCTAATAATGTGTTCAAGATACTTAGTAGTAGATCTTTTGAATTTACACTTCTAGAGCTTAAGGAACAAGTGATTCTCTTACAGAATTGTAAAAACCCTTTGAACTAAGTGTCTATACTCTTTAATATCTTTAGAATAGATGAGAATATTGTTTAGATAGACAACAACTGATTCCTTATTAATTAATTTACTGAAGATATTGTTTATAAAGCTCTAGAATGTAGTAGGAGAATTGTAAGACTAAAGAACATAACTATAGACTTAAACAATCCTAGATTTGTTCTGAAAGCTGCCTTCTACTCATTACCCTCTCTGATTCAAATATTATAGTATTCTCAGCATATATTAAGCTTTGTGAAGTACTTAGAATCTTTGACCTTATCTAGAAGCTCTTAAATTAAAGGTAGAGAGTACTTGTTCTTAATAGTACCTTTATTAAGCTTTCTGTAATCTTAGATTAGTCTTAAAGATTTATCCTCCTTCTTAATAAAGAAGAAAGGCAACACTATAGAGGACTTTGAATATTGAATCCTTTCTGAAGCTAGATTCTTAGAAATAAAATCCTTGAGTGTATCTTGTTCTCTAAGAGTTAGAGAGTACACTTTACAATATGTAGCCTTAAAATCCAGCTTTAATTAATAGTATAGTCCTAAAATCAATACTCTAGTAATTGCTCAAAGAATTCTTTACTAAATACATTCTTGTATACTTTAAGATAATAAGGGATTGTAAAAACCAGGGTAGAATCATTATCAGTTCTCTTTAAGTACTCTAAGACATCTGAATATGTCTCTAGTTCATTTAAGGACATGGAACAACTGTCTAGACATTTAGTAAAGGACACAATACCTTGTCCCTAATCAATCTCTGGATTATACTTATTTAACTAATCATATTCTAGAAAGATATTACTTAATACTAATATAGTAACTGTTAGACAAATTGTCTCTGTATATACTTTAACAGAGAGTTCTACTTTAATATAGTTCTTTAGGAGACCTTTATCATTACTTATACTATTAGTATTAAAAACTAGGAAGGGATTCTTAAAAGTGTTAGTAACAGTATAGAGGGGACCTGAAGGCTTAGTAAGGGGACCCAGGCTACAACTATCCTACACAACAGAAATACAGAATGTAAGTACTAGAACATAGTCAGAACTTACAAAACAGACAGAGAGAGAGAGTAAGACAAGAGTAGAGTATATAGAGTAAGTCTAAGAGTACAGGACTACTTAGAGTAGACAAGATCAAGACTACAGGACCAGTCTGATCTTGTACACCTATATATACTAAACTACACAAGAGTACTCAGGAAATAGTAAGCTACTAAGAATGATGAACCACAAAGAATGAAAGAAAGGAAGGTCAAAGATAAAGGTACAAAGAATGAAGGGATAGACAAAGGGTAAGAGACTATAGAATGAACAAAGAATGAAGGGGTGGTTAAAGGAACAGAATGATGAAGTAAGAAGGGGTAGTAGTAAGAGTCAGTCTGTATATAGTCTATAAATGGTGCCCTTAAGGGACAGAAGTCCTGAGTTCTGGTACAGAAGGGTGCAGAACCCTTAGAACTGAAGGTGTAAGAGTAGAGAACTGTAACAGAAAGGATATGTTGTTAACTTGTTGTTCTTAACAAAACCTGTATTTATGTATAATCTAGTACACTCTAAATCAATTAGAGTATACATATTAATGAGTCTATAATCTGTTTTAATTGTTAAGAACATATCTAGTTGCCTCCTAATGCTAGAGTAAATGTAGAAAGCTTTCCTAAGAGAAACTGAGCCTACAAGTCTATAAAAGATGTTCAAAACTGTTCCTACACCTTCTACCTCTTTACAGACTTTAGAATCAATAGGTTCATCAAAGAAATAAGAGTCTTTACTGTTTAGAGTGTTATAATACAAACAATAATTGTCTATATTTGATTCAGATGTTTAGCATTAATTATTTACATAACAATAACTCTATTCTAGCTCTTTCTTAAGTAATACAGTATTTATACCTAAGGATTGACAAAAGACTCCTCTTCCTTAATCTGTTCCTTGTCTGATTCTTTATTTATAAAGTTCCCTTCCTTCAATTCCTGTATTACCTCTATAAAAGCAAACCTTTCCTTAAGTCCTATAACTCTAAGAATCATTCTAATTCTTTAATACTAAGAAGAACAAACTCTGACAAAGTAACTAATCTCTCTACAAATGTAACAAGCTTGATTTTTCTTAGTATTGTTAATTAAGATGTCTATTAGTTCTCTAACTCCTAAGAATGTTTTTCTATTAGGAGTTAACCTGAAAGGATGTGAGATCAGTTGAGAATTTGTCTGTACATTTAGGGCTTTAAAATACACAGTAGAATTGGATTAAGGAGAGTTGTGAGTCTTGTTAGGAAGATTAAAGTGTAGACAGCTGTTAGATTGACTACTAGAGAGTCCTCTGTGTGTAAGAGTCTCTCTGAGTTGAGTTTCATTGTTGTTAATCTGAATTGCATACTTTTTCTATTTATTATAAGTACTTAGAACTAGTAATAAGTATATTAACTAATAAAGTACTTTAGAATTAAGAGTATACTAAAGTAAATCAATTAATATAGAGTTATATACTTTACTACTCAGTCTAGCTTTAGTCTTAAGAATCTCAAACTGTTAGAAAAAGATATCTGTAGAGTAATTTCCTTGCTTGAGTTGTCTGAGCTTCTAAATAACAGTTTCTTTCTTACTAGGGTCATCAAATGATTGCCCTAGTTACTCTATAAACTCTTAGAACAATTGTGTATAAAGAATTTTACACTTATTGTCTGTGTTTTGAGTAACCCAATTTTCTGTCTATACAGTAACTGTCCCTTCCTTTAAATAAGAAAGTACAAAGAGTATCTTCTTTTTACTATTATAGAAGGCTTTTTTATTAGTAAGGATATACAGTAAACATTCTCTTTTAAAGTCCTAATAATCCTTACCTTCTTTATACTCTCTAAGAGTAGTAGTAATCTTTCTAGGGTTTCTAGTAGGAGTATAATACATTACTATAGTAACAGCTTGACTAGTAGCTTCTATAATCAATTGAGAGACCAAATTTATGTCTAAGTACATATATACACCTTACTAGGGCTGTACAGACTTGTGAGAGAGTGTAGGAGAGTTTCCTAAGGATTTGACATTGTTTTTAAGGCTAGCTCTAATAAATTGACTTCTAAAGTACTGAATACTCTTTCAAATGCTTGAGTAAGCTCTAAAATGTTTGAGTCTTTGTTAGAGGCTAGTGTGAATGATTATGAACAATGTATAAGTCCTAAGAAACATTCCTTCAACTAGTTTACTACCTAGGCAACTTCAATCTTTCAGTTTTAAACTCTTAAGCTACTTATATGTACTCTGTTCTAAGTACAATCTAGTGACTCTTATCTAATAATACTAAATAACTATAAGACAATGCTGGACTTTTAGACTGTAAGGTCTCTAAAGGTATTACTACTTAAGAGAGGCTCTAGTCAACTAGTAAACAAAGGCTAGGGATTGAGCTTTATAAGTAGTAGGTCAAAAAGTGTTTAGAAAAGAGTATAGTTATACAAATTACAAAGACAACACACAAACTTAAACAAGTAAAAGAGAGTAAAGGATGACAGTGATACAATCTTAAGAGTAGAGTATAAAATAATAGAAAATGAAGTAACAAATGAGTGAGGGACAATATAGAATTAATAGAATAGTAAATCAGTTTAATAGTTCTTTTAAGAAAGTAAAAGGTATGTTTATAAAGAGAGTGAGAAATACTCAAACAAGTAGTAGCTCAGCTTAAGCAAACTAATCAAGTAGTGGCTCAGATTGGGCAGATTGGGCAGATTGAGCAGATTGTGTAGGAGGAGTGACTAAGTAGTAGCTTAAGTCAGGGAAAGTCAAGTAGTAGCTCTAACTATTTGTAGGAAACAAATTAAACAACAGTTTGGACTTAAAGGAGAGTTGGATTAGATAGAGAGGATAGTTGAGTAGTAGCTTGGACTAGGAGGATATTGATTGAGTAGTAGCTTAGACCAAGAGTAGTATTAAGGTAGAGATGAGTTTTTTGACTCTTATATTAGAGGAGATGTGTTCTCTAGGTTGATAGTACTCTCAAACTGTGAATGTAGACCTGTAGCTCTTAAACCAACTATATTCCCAAAGCTACCAGCTAGGATTTATACTAGGAGAACAAGTAGGAATACAAGAAGAGTCCAAAAAACTAAGGAACTACTGTATCTACAGACTGCTTTTTATAATAACTAAATTATTAGAGTAAAGTGAGGAATGAAACTTGAGAATAAGATCAAAGAAATAATAATAACAAATATTACAAAGCCAACAGGTGCATCAGAGGCTAGGAAGAATTAACAGAGTATTGTACATTAGAGAATATAGGCTAAGAGACTATTATACAAAAGAGGCACAAGTTACCATATTGGGCAAGAAATGGATTAGCTACATTATAATTGTACACACTACCTTGTGTCTCTGTAGCTCTCTCCTGTACTCAATACTAATACAATCTCTATGAAACTTTGTAGAACAATAGATAAGATGTTAAGGATCATGAAAATCTAGTAGCAATGTTGGTTTTTTTGCAAAACTGATAGAGATATGAAGAAAATGAAATAGGTCCAATTCTACAATCCTAATACTTATATTAGAATATAATAGTGTAAAATATGTAAAAAAAGTGAAAAAAAGTGAAATAGTATATAACAAACCTTAAGTTCTAATAAAGTACTAAAATTTTGTATTAGATACTGTAAGGATTCTTATTATTGTAAAAGTACATAAGGGTAATACTTCTTCAAAACATGTGAAATGGATTATAACTAACCTCCCCTTTTTAAAATGTATAATAAGGATTTCAGTATTTTAAAAGGATAACATATCTTTATAATGTTTTACAGACTATACATAGTTGTTATTTCTTAATTATAAACATTATCCTTTACATCCACTCATTATTAAAATAACAAAAATCAATTATATTAATGTATTTTATATATTACATTGTTATCTACAATTATTAAGGGAAGGACGAAGCTGAGAGGACCACGAAGCAAGTTCATCGAAAAGGATGAATGCATTCTCAGGCTACTTGATATAGTCTTCGTCACCTCACTTTGGTCGTCGCTCAGTCCCTGCAAGTTGAATTGCATGCGCGTGTGAATTGTGAGGTTGAGCAAGTTTTGGAGGTTGAGGCTGCACGAGTGTTTAGCGAGTGACAATAAGAAAGAAAAGATGGACACACTGCGAAGCGTGTAGCAAGTATGAGTGGTGCACTGGAGTTGAGATCCGAAGTGTTGAACGAGCTGATTTGGGCTGTAGACGAAGCTGTATCAGTACGTGCACGCTGTATACTCTGATTGTGACGTACAATTGGAGGAGCAGTGAACTGAGTCGTCGTTATGGATTGCAAAGGTGTATCTCTGGGACGTTCTGGCCCGAAGGGAGAGGGTGAAGTGGATGGCGTGGACGGGCTCGGCTCAGGAGGGGCGAGTGGTGGCCAGTGCCTCCGTTATTCAGAATGGTTTCATGGACGATACTGGGTAATGTAAAAGCACACGGTGTGGACCCATCAAGGGTGATGACAAGCATGGGATGGTGGGTGGGGAAGGAGAGCGCGTACGGTGTCGAAGAGAGAGCTGTACCATGAGAGTGGTCGTACGTTGGTACTGTCGCGAGCGCGTGCTCGTCGTCTATTGCTCGCACTTAAGAGCAGGAAGTACGCGAATGCGTGGAGTTATCGAAGAAGTCGTTCAGCATTGGCCAACGATGCGGATGTGCAAATGCAAAGACAAAAAGGAAGGCAAACGTAAATAAAAGGGAGGACGGCGAATGAGAGGCAACACAAGGGGGCGGAGGAGTGTAAGGGATGGAAGGAGACAAAAAGTTGGGAGAGGGAGAGATGAGCAAATGAAGTGAACCGGTTGCTTACGCTTCACGTCGAGACCGGGAGGGGACGGCGTTCTGGGGCTCAGCACAGACATCACAACAGGAGATAGGGCGACACGAGTGCAACGATGTTTTTTGTCTAGTTGTTGAAGGCAGAGTGCCAGCTTGTAGGGCACTTGCAAGCAGAGGACTGGGCTAGGGAGAACAGAGGCAACGACATAGTGCTGAGGGCAGAGGGTTGGGGGAGATGGTAGAGGTAGGAGATGAAGAAGTGACGAGAGCAAGTGCATCATTGTACACTCTCGATCTTCAGTAGTTGATTACGTAATCATTCTTCGTGATAGCATCCAACCTGTAAAACAAAACAAATATAATATTTAGATGTAAAATAAAAGTTCCTCTTTGCTTTACGACACAGTCAAAAGTAACCCCATTTGTTTAGAACTCCTTAAACACACTAATATAATTATTACAAATACTCGAAATTGTTGTACAGATAATATAAACTGTTTTACATATAAATATAAGTCTGTCTTCAAAATTATAAGGCAGGTATAATAATTAAATTTATTATAAAAGGTTATTATAATGTATTTGATAGATTACATTCATCTATAATACTTACAGAATCTTTACATGTATTAACATAACTTATATTAACATTATAATTACTGTGTAACTCTTACAGTTACATTATAAGGTATATAAAATGTTTACATTATATTAAAAATACTGTAATCCATTATATAAGATCCGACTTTTTTGCAATTAAGCTGCTTTTGTGTACCTACTCATAGGAAACCACTAACAGATAATAACAGTGTTTGAAATCATACAAGAACTTTTGTGTATACCTTCTTGAGATCATCATTTTATTATAGTACTGTAACTGTTTACTTGTTTATTAATGACTATATTATAACTAGTCTATTCTGGGACAAGACCATCTATTACTTCTCTCCGAGATTTTTGACAATCTTCTACTATATCTTGAATAGACTTTTTAGTAGTTTCCATTTGATTGGATGCATTGATAATTGGCTTCAAAAATTCACCAGTAATCTGGTCAAGCTTCCTGCATGTCTCTGCTAGAACTGGTGTATTCAGTTCCATTGATTCAGCTTTCTGTCCTAAGTCTCCCAGTGTAAAAGACATCTTAAGTAATACATCTGACAAGAGTGACATTTGGCCCATTAGCAGTTGCACTTCAGGATGCATATGTATGGCATATTGTGCAATTTCCACCATAGGACTATCTGTTGAAACAGAAGCAGATGAGGATGTCCTTGAATGATGACTTGAAGTGTGTGAAAGCTGCCTCTCCAAGTTGTTGAGAATGGCTGCACTGGACGTTCTAGAATGGCCAAGGCTAGATTGTCTTCCTGCTTTGATACTCCCAGCATCTGAACCATGGTGCTGGCAATGAGATGTGGTTGAAGCTGCCGAAGGTGTTCTTGAATGGTTCTTGTTGTGTTGACTCATTGTTGATCTGAGGAGTGCACTATGATGCTTACCCTCAGTTTTTACCCCATTTTATAGACATTTTTCAAGGTGCAAAGTTGTTGTGGTAGAACAAGCCCACATTATATTGCCACTATCCACAGGCATAGTGTGATAATGATATGCAATCATTATCTGCACTACAAGCTGAAATCGTTATTGAAATTGATCTTGATGCACGTCTCTTATTGGACAGCAAAGGCACTTTCTGCAATGTTTGGACATTAATGACGAAATATTTGCTGTATTGTGTGCACCCATCTCCATTGTAGCATGATGATTACTATGGATTGCAACAATCCAGCATAATTATAGCCCCATATCGGGAATAGTCAGGAGTTTTGCACTTTCCTTGCATGTGTATCCTTGATTCATAATCAAACCTATTTTGCTGCATGTAGAAAGCTATCTTAGAGAGCGTCTCTGATTGGACAATTAAAATACGTTCTGCAATGTTCTCTTCAATCACTTTGTCTGTTGTTGCTCTGAGTGCCTAGCAAAATACTCGCATGACCATCATGTGCTGTAGGGACTCACTGTCATTCGACAACTCAATCAGATTCATTAATTATGATTGCAAAATAGCTTGCCTTCTGCATAGTGCATCACAGCTATACTTTCCATTGTCTCTCCTTGAGTGCCAAGTAGGGAGTTGACGAAAATGTGTTGGTACACAACCTACAGACCTTGCATCAGCATCATCAGATGTAGTACACTAGTATGTTGCACTGAAAACATTCTCTCTACTATCCTTGTCAATTTGTATTCTGCTTGTGCTGCTAGCTTGACTGTATTTGCTGCCAGCGTCCTCCTTTCTGGCAATAACAACAGAAACGCATACCCTGGAGGTGCATCAAATAGGAGGAACAGTGGTTATGACAGAGGAATGTGGAGAAGGCTGGGGTGATTGCAAAGCAGTAGATACAGTCATTGGACTTGACAAACTGATTGTAGCTAATCAATATTCTCTCTCCTTTCTTCTTTCTCTCTCCTTTCCTCTGTCTCTCTTTGTTTGGTTGAATTTTGCTGTGTGATGAGTACTGACTGTAAACCTGATCTTGTTTGATAATCCTTACCCTACATGTGTGTTGTTATACTTTTGCACTTGGACTAAGGACCTGTCTGTACATACTATCCTTGTTTTGCTTTTGTTGTTATAGTTCTCTGCTCTTGTACTTTCAGTTCTGAGGGTTCTACACCCTTCTGTACTGGAACTCAGGACTTCTGTCCCTCAGGGGTACTGTCTATAGACTATATGTGTACTAACTCTTACTACTACCCCTCCTTACTTCATCATTCCATTCCTTTGACCACCCTTTCATTCTTTGTTCATTCTATAGTCTCTTACCCTTTGTCCATCCCTTCATTCTTTGTACCTTTATCTTTGACCTTCCTTTCTTTTATTCTTTATAGCTTATCATTCTTAGTAGCTCATACTCTCTAAGTACTCTTGTGTAGTTTAGTATATATAAGTGTACAAGATTAGACTAGTCCTATAGTCTTGATCTTGTCTACTCTAGGTAGTCCTGTACTCTTAGGCTTACTCTATATACTCTACTCTTGTCTCACACTCTCTCTCTGTCTGTTCTACAAGTTCTGACTATGTTCTAGTACTTACATTCTATATTTCTGTTATATAGGATAGTTGTAGCCTGAGTCCTCTTACTGAGCCTGTAAGTCCCCTTTATACTGTTACTAACATCAGATTAAGACTACCCATTACTACTCTACAACTCTCCTACATTTTAGGCATTAGTACTTACTATTGTGTTGATCTCTTTTCTTTGTCCTAACCCTTTTACATTTTTAAATTTTAAACTTTCTAAACCCTTTTAAACTTTTGCCACCCTTCTTCTATTCATTACCCCTTTTAGTTTAGTACTGATTCCTTTATAGTGTAAACATAGACCCTCCTACACTAACTACCACCCCTACTGTCCTACTAGATTAGTAGTTGTAAATAGATCTAACTCAATACATGTAGACCTCTATTTAAGAGGCCTTTACTAACTACATACTCTCAGCTCTCTTAGAACCTGTTCTAATTGTTCTAGAAGTTACAACCTGTTCTAGAAAGAAAGTACATGTAGCCTACCCTTTAGACTTTAATAGGTAACACTTTAAGAACTTCTAGTGTCAAGTTAAACTATACATAGTTGCTACTTTGACTAATCTATTCTCAGATCTTAATTGTGTCCTATTTGTCCTCTCCTTTATAAAGGAAGGTAATGTGGCCACCTAAGCTTAGAACTATATTAAAGAACATTAGATTGAAAGCCTAATCTAACTTTAGAACAATGAGTCATATTCAGAATTTATAGGGTAGCTCTGTACTTCCTTTATCAATCTGAATAAGAAGTGTAATGTACAGAACAAGCTTGTATCTCTATGACAGGGCAAACATTCTACTAATACCTTCTTTCAGGAGTTTAATATTCTAGCCTAGAAGGCAGGAATTGTACTCAGGTTTAATAATATCCTTATTAGAATACTTGAAAAAGCTCTTTACCCAGAACTGGTCAATAAGATTCTCAGGATAATGTTAGAACTAGTCACTTATACTGAGTAGAAAATATACACTATTTCCTTTGACTAAGCTACAGCTTAGATACATTAAGTCTGTACAGAACACTTGTATATGTATCTAGCTCTGACAGTTCCAAACCCTTAGATTAATCTGCTTATAATTCACAATCAATCTGTTCTAATAAACATTAGAGAAGCTTGAAAGTGAGGAGTATACTTTACTTACAGAAAGTCAGGGTACTAAATTAAGAACTATCTGTAGAAGTAACAGTATATCTGTTAGGTCATTAGAGTAATAATGAGTAACAAGTAGGATTTGTAGTGAGAAGCCTTTTCTACAAATCTGAAAGTTACCTCAGAACTCTTAGACTCTAACTATGTACTCTAGGATTTTGTAGAGGCCTAACAGTAAATGTAGTACTAAAGAGCTATAACTCAGATTTTTTAACAGCCACTTTTGATTTAATGAACACTGTAGGATTAGAAGTAAATAAAGTAAGAAAAGTAGAAAACATAGAAAAAGTAGAAAAAGTAAATCAACAAAATTATTTATTAGAAAGAAAAAAGTTGAAATCAAAAGTAGATAGTTCTCTTATTTCTTCTGATTCTTTTGATTCTTCTCTTTGTACTTTATCTGAGTCTAAATCCATATAATCCAACCTACTACTTCTGTGTTCTAAGATCTTAGAACATTCAGAACACTACTCAGCCCTATTCACTACTTAGTAGTTTGTCTATAGTATTAAGTAGGGATAGTCTCAGTTGAGTTTACAGTTAAGAACATAAGTCTGTCCTTATTAAAAGAGAGAGGTTAATAAGGAAATGTTAGTGTATATACTTACTCTATTAGACAACAAGACTGTACAAGCTGTACATTCCCTTTAGAACAAGTAGCAGTTTATTAGAGGATATTCTAAACACTAGCTCTAGGTCCCTGTCCTCTTGGCTCCTTTCTCAGAATCCTCTCAGATCTGAACAATAGCTTTAGTAGACAGTAAATACACTAGTTTATACATTAACAAGGTCTTTGTGTAAGAACACTACCTCCCTACTTAATACATTCTACTTCTAATCCTAGTATACAATGTAGACAGAACTCTAAACCAGAATGGTCAGATTACTAAGTTTGTCCAACTATAGATAACTATTTAGGATTATAAGGAAATTATTAAGTTTAGAGTTACTAACCTTAGAAAGACAAATGTCTTCATCAGATTTGAATGGCTCAAGACTTACAATCCTACTATTGACTAGTTAGAACAGA